GACTATTACAACTTGGCCACTTACAAAATGACTCAAACAAGACACCTAAAGAAGCTTTCATCCATTAGAAGAAGGATAAAGGTGAGGTGGCACTTGCGGCGAGACGAAAGAGGTTAGAAGCCAAGATGAAGGGTGGAGAAGCTTGCAAACCTTCCTAGAAGAAGAGAAGAAGAAGTGATGGAACAAGCTCGCAAGCTTTTCCAACAAAACCCGCAGGTTTACATCTCCAAAAATAACTCATATAACCATTCTAAAATAGCCACAAATATCTCCTATTTATAGACCAAAAGAGAGAATACAAACAGCCCCAAAACATTAATTAAAAGCTAATTAAATGAGGGAAATGAAAATCCAACAGCCAACTCATAATATTCCCTAATACTACACATGAAAAAAAGCACCACAAGCCATGGAGAAGCCCCCAAATAGCAACGGGAAAGCAGTCCAGGCGGAACCCGAAGAGGCAGCCGTGGGAACCAAGGGGCCAAGGCACAGGAAGTCTTCCCAGCACAGGAAACCAGCAGCCAATTTCAGAAATCCAAGGGACAAGGCATGGAAAACAGCCAGCCGGCATAGGAACCCAAGGGACAAGCTCATATTTTTAAGAAGAAAAGTGGAGAAGAAGGAACAAGACCACAAATAATGAGCTATCTATTTAGTTTAATAAATGAACTAAAAACATAGCTCATAATGAACTAACTTTTAGTTCAATAAATGAACTAAAAACCAGCTCATAATGAGCTAAATTTTTGCTCAAAACATTAATGAGCTAGAGAAGTCAAAAATCAAAATTTTTGGGTTTGATTTGACCCCCTCTGCCTACATCAACATGTCTTGAACGCAGTCTTCGAGATATCTTCTTTGATCCAGATTTAATGAAACCTCGACTTTAGATCCATCTTTGAGAACACCACAGCTCATCCAACAACTCATCTATCACTGAATGGTAAACCTGTCTGGAGTCATCTCCTTGTTCAGGGCCCGATAGTCCACACAAAATTTTCAGCTCCCATCCTTCTTCTTGATCAGTAAAATTGGGCTAGAAAAAGGACTTACTCGGTCGGATGATCATTGCCTCCAACATCTTTCGGTTAAGCTTTTCAATCTCATCCTTCTTAATTTGAGGGTAACGATATGACCTAACACTGATCGGTGACACCCCCTCTTTCAAGGCGATGACATGCTCGTGCCCCTTCAGAGGTGGCAATCCTTGAGGTGGCTAAAAAAATCTCACTAAATTTCTGTATAAGCGGGTGCATTGACGGAGGTATGTCTTCCTCTTCCTCCAATTTGACCCCCTTTAAGTTCTATAACTCCACTAAAAATCCTCCTCCCACCTCATGTAAAGTCCTTCCCATGATTTTGAGTGACACAATTGCTTTGGATAACCCTGTAGGGCCTGCATCACCCCTGATCATCATTCTCCATCCCTCTACCACCAGTTCCTTTATCAAAGCTCCCCAAGTAACTTTAGTATTACCCAAGGTTTATAGCCATTTCATCCCCTTGATAACATAACTACTTCCCAACTCTAAGGGAAGGAAGTTCTCTCTCACCTGTATCCTTTGCATGGTCATTACCACTCCTTTACACACTCCTCTGCCTGTCATGGTTTAAAATTGCGCAATATGAGGCTCGCCTTGAGGCCCGCCTTTGCGCAATTCCAGTAAAAAAAGCCTCGATGCTTACGCCTCGAGTTTTTTTTATGAGGCTTGCGCCTCAACTTGGTTGAGGCCCGCCTCGCCTCACTGGCATGAGGCTTATGCCTCACGCTATATATATTAAAACTTACATAAATCTTGAAGTAAATGTCCGACATTGAACTTTATAGGAGATGAGGAAGGGGAGTGAGCAGTTCATCATAATGATGATGATTAAAATGAAGAACTCCTTAGTGATGACAGTGCTGATGACTTATGAGTTGTTATGTGATATGTCATTGCTATTTATTTTTTGAAATTAGAATTATATGTTAATGAAAAGAATATTGAGATTTGAAAAAGATAGAATTTTGCGTTAAACTATATTTCATGTTGTCTTATTATTGGGATATTTTTATTTCACTTCATATCTTATGTTTTTTTATGTTTTATATTATTCACTCATTAGTAGATAAAAAATTTATCATTTTATGTTTACATAATCTTTTGATTTTGAGGCTTACGCCTCAAAACGCATTGAGGCTTACGCTTCGCCTCACGAATGAAAAACGCCTCAATACCCGAATACGCAATTTTAAACATTGCTACCTGTTTCTACCTTCCCAATGCTTATCATCACCCCATAACACCTTATGTCCACCAATTTCACCCCCATTGATATATGACATAGTTGGAGATGAAATTTTGGGTATCCCCACTATTTATCAACACCATCATCTCTCTTTCTACTATTTATCCCTTTACTTTCTTTGTGTGATTTGGAGTTAATCCCACCACTGAGTTTAAGGTGACCTCTACCATATCTAGATGCAACCCTTTTTCCTCCACCAAATTCTCCCTGTCCTCTCCCTCATCATCTTCCTCGTCATCACCGACGGTGAGAGCCTAAAGAATTCGATCCTTACACCAATGCCCCAAGGTGTACCTCTCATAACACCTGAAACACAATCCCTTCGCTCTCTTTTCATGCAGCTCTTTCTCAGTGAGCTTTTTGGAATTTTCCCTTCCTATGGGCGTCTCCTTTGGGGCCTCTCGAAGACTATCCGACATCAACCCCTTTGGTGCTAAGAACGTGGTGGTTATCCTGCAAGCTTATGGAGCTACTGCCCCTGACCCTCCTCTCTAGGTATTTCTGATCCTCCACCAATTATGCTAATTCCATATCCTCTCCCAAGTTACAAAGCCTCACACTCTCACTACCGTCTGGATCTCTGTGGTTTGAACCTCTTCAAAAAGTTCCATTCCAGTATAGTCTCAGAAAGCCGGTCCAGTCGGCTAGCTAGGTACTCAAACTTGTCACGGTACTCTACATAGAATCCTCCCGTGTCAGAGCAAAAAATTGCTCATAGAAGTCCCTTCCCCTGTTGGTTCAGAAAGTTCCAACAAGCTGTCCTTGAACTCTCTCTAACTCTGAATGGGCCGCCTCATGTCTCTCCACTGGTACTAGGCCAAAACCTTTCTCTCTAAACACATGCCAATTGCTGTCAATCTCTCATTCTCTGTCAATCTATTGACGGCAAAATACCTATCCATCTTGTAGATCCCACCCTTGTGCATCATCACCCTTAAAGATAGACATTTTCAACTTTCTCACCCTCAAATCCCCTCCATTTCTCTTGAATCCTTCATATCCACCCATTCCCCGAGGGGGTGGACCCCCCCCCCCCCCCCATCTCCACTCATATCCATTGCTCATCTTCTCCCTAGAAGTAGGTTGTTGGGGAGGCATGTCATCTTCAACTCTCCTTATCATAGTTGCAATAGCGCATGGCGCGGCACACATGTTCAAGTTGGTACGTACCATTTGTGCCATGTGTGCGAAATGATGCACGGTGCATTTAATTTGAATTTTAGGGATTTTGTAATATAATTATAAATAATATTTATATATTTTAATTTCTAAAATAATCTAATAATTAATCTTAAAAATTTTGAAATGATTACAATAGTTTAGTTAGGTTTTAGTAGACTTTATTTTAGTAGAGATTTTGGACGAACTTGAAGTTCACTTTAATGATTTGGACTTTGGACCACAAATATATTCAACAAAGCCTTGCCAAACTTGATTGATACTCTAAAATAAGATTCATATAATGATTTTTATAATTATTATTTATTGTGTCTTGTTCAAAATGGCGCACGCCGCGCCGTGCGCTATGCGCCATGGCTCCACAGGGAACTTATCGCCGTGCTGCACCATTTGCTGTTGACAAGTATGCTCCTTACCAGGTTCGGGTTCCCACCACTTTCTTGACCATCAATGGTTCCCCTCGCAGTCGATGTCGTCGTCTTGTGTTAGGCCTTAAGCAACTTCTTCAACATTTCTTCCATGACAACAAACTTCCCATCCATCTTTTCATGAACAATAGAAAACATATTTTCGTACTTAGAAATATTCTCCATAAATTCTGATTTTAATTGTCTCATCTCACATTCCAAAACTTCCATTTTCCTCTCGGCCATAGATTCCATGGATCGATGCGATCTAATACCAATTTGATAGGAAATACTCCAAGAGCAAGTGACTCTTGGCTAAATTTGAATTTCAGCTAGGTTCAACCCAGAAATTAAAAAAGAATTTGGTGGAAATACTAATGAGAAAAGATTTTACTGATAATAGCTGAAAGAAAATATCAAGATACAATTGATCCTCAATTGGAGAGGAGGATCCAGCTCTCCCAAATCTCTAAATGCTGCTAGAGCCCACACAAATCGAAAGAACTCTCTAAATTTCAGAAAACACAAGATAAAAATCTAACCCTAGGTTAAACAATATATTTAAAGCATACAAAATATAGTTAATGTCAAAACAGCCCCTCAATTTAAAATTTCCCACATAATCTCTCATTATATCATCATTAATTTGTCTGTTGGACCCCACCCCCAAAGGGGGCGGCCTTGGCTAGGCGGAACTTCTATTCCACCGGAAGTTCCGCCACTGGTAGACCAAGGCTAGTCCAGGCTGGATCAGTCCAATGACCCGTCTATTATTGTCCTGCTTCGCTGGAATCATCATATGTTAGAGTGTGATGATATTTTGCACTGCCGATTTTCTATTACTTATTTCACCTGGCTAAACAAGTGTTGACCCAGCAATACTGTTTAATGTATCGAAAGAAAATGTTACTTATATTGCATGTCAATGCCGGATACCTTGAAGTCATCAAGGTAAGCAAGTTTACTCTGATGCATGAAGTTTGTTTTATTTGTATTCAGTGATGCTGTAAAGCTTTATTAAATTAGATACAAGATTTATATGGTTTACCACTTCACATACACTTCATATATGTGAGCTTATTGACCTTTTTTTTTTGAATTTTTCCCTTTTTCCATTATCAGGCCTTAAAGAGTTTTCTTGATACTGCAGAAGCGGATGTTAGGTCGCTTATATCATTGTATAGTGAAGTGGTGAGCTCTATTTTTATGATGACTATTTGAAAGTTATTTCTAGAATAACTTTGTGTAGTCTTATAAAACCATAATGCTGCAGGGGAGAAGTGCAGATTCATTGGCACAATATTTCGGAGAGGATCCTGCACGTTGTCCTTTTGAGCAAGGTAAGCTTTCAGATGTTGTACCTATACATGTTTTATCCTCTTTTAAATTTATGCTTAATTTGCTACTTGCCACATTTAAGGTAACATACCGGCAATATAATACTGGCAAGTGTGATAAATGGTGGAGTTGCTAATTTAAAAATTCTAACACCGCCTGCTATAATGTCTTGTGCCTGAATAGAAAAATAAGCCTAGCTTTCAGATGCTGTAGCTATGCATTTTTTATCCTCTTTTAAATTTATGCTAAATATTGGCAACTCTGGTAAATGTTGGAGTCGCTAATTTAAAAATTTTAATACCGCCTGCTATAATATCTTGTGTGCTTTAATGAAAAAAAAAGAAGCCAAGCTTCCTTAAAAACTGTCAATTACAATTAGTCTTGGTACAAACATTTAAGAGGAATGATGTGATTCTGAATCTCAGAGCTAGCTTGAGTACGAACATTACCATCCATTTAAAAGGAATAGAAGGAACTCATAGAAAAACCCTTAATGAGAGAGAAGCCAATGCATGATGTCCCGATCAGTGTCAAATTTAAGTTGATTGATGATGGATAATAATAACCCTTTCCCATCCCGAAGGAGAAATGAATTACTTTTTTCTCGAACCTATGTACACCTTTAGTGGAAGAAAGAAGAGGTGCACGCGAATATTACTATATGTAGCAAATGGGAAATGATCACTAAATTGACAAGCAAGAGATAAATTATTGATCTGATTCTACCCCAAAATTTTAATATTTTAACAATGATGAACTTTCCAAGGACCACTAAAAAAATGAAGATAGTCTCCTCAAGGACTTCAATTCGCTGGCATCTTAGCATGTCGTCCCTAGGAGCTGACTTCTAATTGCCTTCATTGGCGGCCTTCCCTTGAGAAATGAGAGGGAGCGGGTTCCTGCTTGGTTATGTCTTTTGTGTCCGTCTAGTCAAGAGAGAGAGAGAGACCTAGAGGGAGACGAGGGAGAGACTGTGATGTGATACCACATGCAAAGGAGCTTGTTAAGAAATTTTTGAATGATTGATAAAGCAATTTCAATTAATAACTTATTGAGATAACAAGCAAAATTCCTCAAAGAATTCTTAGTTTTCAACTAGCTTAGGCAAGGAAGTACATGTAGAATAGCTAAACTCAAAGATAACCAAAGATAGTAGCAATACCAAAAGCTATTAATCAACAATCCACAACTTAATAACGAGAGTTTTTACCTTGTGGAATGTATCACTCAACTACACTAGGCTTAGCGGAAGAAGGATTTTAGCAAACCCGACGATGCCACGAGAACGGTAGCAACCACAACGAACTTGATCCACGGGAAGGTTATCGGTGTCGAGGATGATGGAAATGATCGACTGTCGATGCTCCAATTGTAGTTTGGATGTCGGCGGTCCTTCACTCAACTCTTCCCAAAAATAAGAGAGATGCACGTTCTGACAAGATCGTTTGAATGCTAGGGAAGATGTGGGCAGCAACCAAGAGCTTTCCCGCAACATGGAACAGCCGGGAAGTGGTGCAGAAATTCAAGGCAGCAGCCGTTTTGCTCTTGGACAGCAGTTTTCCTGAGGCAGAAGTTCAGGGCAGCAACAATTTTCAGTCAAGGGAGTCTTGGACAACAGTTGGGGATCCTTTTAAGAGGCTGGGATGCAAGTGGTTTGGCTCAGAAAACTTGAACAGCAGACGTTGGGCAGCAATGGGGAAGTTCTGGCATAACCACGGTGAAGTTTCCTTTG